GAGCTCTGCAGGTTTATTAACCGATAGGTTAAAACCAGCAGGCTTCTGCAGCGAGCCCTGATGTCTACTTAATCAACAGATTAGTGGCAGCCGGCTTAAAGAGCCTGTGACCCGAGTTTCCCCCATCATCCAAACCCATCAATTTGAGTAAATATTGTCCCCTTGAAAACCGTTACTGAACTGATTTTGGATATTTGTACTTTGATAACCATTAATCTGCCCTTCAATGTTGACCATTTTCTGGACCTTCGCGGGGATTCTTCAAGTCCCGCCAAATTATGTGTGACGTCATTGCGGGCACAGCGCTCCAGCTGCACCGTTCAGGATCCCAGCATCTGCATGTAAACGCACGATGGCGCACACAGCAGCAAGCTCAGACAGCGATGACAGTTTAATTTTGAACGTGTCTGAGAGCTCATATGAGGCTGAAGGATCGGTTTATGTTGTATCTGTTAGAAGTTTAGGAATTAGGTGCGTCAATATGGGCGATCATACGGTNATTATATTCACAACTCAGTTGGACCCGGACTATAGTCTCTCTTATTGTGAAGTCAAAGCTTAGGAAGCAGCGCTGTAACGCAGATGCGTTATAAACTCACCTCTGGGTTTTCATAAACGGACTTGTATTGGTGTAAAATTAGAAGTTGTGACATTTTGCATTCGGTACGTTTGTATGATCTAAACGGTATCAAAAGTTTTCCCTCTCCTCCATTCCTTTTTCGATGCTTTACTTCATCCTTTATTTTTATGTAAACCTATAGTTTCAAAAGCAGTATCCGGTTAAATGATTCAATAAGTTTTAGGGTTTTACGAACTGTTGCGACAGTCATGGAGGAAGCGCCATAACCTAGTTACCGAAAAGTGGGTTCCTTAGTCCACAAAGCACAGTCCCTGTGTCTTTTGTCTTGCTTTTAAATTGAGCAAACCAGTTTTAGCTACATGTTGGCCTCTGGAATGTACAGTATGTCCTTAAAGGTAGGGTAGGTAAGAATGGAGAAACCAGCTCGAGTAAGCTAGAATTTGAAAGTACACAACCGAAAGAAATCAGACACGAACAAGCACGTGACCAATGAGGGCACGAGATAAGTTTGTGCACGAGATGGAAGGCTGACAGGCAGGTAGGCCATCCAATTATCTGCCGTGGGCCGAGGCAGATAATTGGACTTGCTTTTTACAGTGCCACGGCTTCCACAGATGAAATATTTGTATATATTTATTGTCAAAGCATTTAATTTATTCATTGCTATCGGGATGTTAAGAGCATTCCATGGAATATAACAAAAAGTGTTTTTGAAGTGAACTACCTACCCCACCTTTAAGTTACAGCATTTATTGAGCAAATCATGCCTGTAGAAAAGTTAACAAACCCATACAACGGTCAGATACAAGAGCCTAGTACTATGTGCTGAAAAGATGCAAGCTCCTTCATAAAATCTCTCAGTCTCGTTGAGATCCCTTCCCTTTGCTACCGAAGAGTTGAAAGGTGTAGGAAGAGAAACATGTTCTCAACTTGTGTTTCGGTGTGAAGAGTAGGAAACGGAACAACTAATTTTAACTCACGAAAGATAAAGATAACCAAGACAACAGCAGTTGCCTGAGGATCTTTTGTGTTTGGACAGTAAGAAAGCAGCGAGGGAAACAGTAGAGGAGATACAACGGATAAAGTTTAGCTGGAGCCCTGAACACAGGAACAAAGTGTTCCCTGGGAACACTTATCACTGCTTGGAAATGTCTGGATGTACTTTGAGGATATTTAGTTGTCATAAAAAATACAACACAATGTGGAGTCGGAATAATGTTATAACCGCAGAACACCATGACATTTGTTTTTCCTTTGAATTTGAGGCAGACTTTTTTTATCCACTTTCATTTCCACAATGATTTTATAAATCGTTCCCCTAAGAAAATAATATAATAATCTAAGAAACATTTTCTAATGTTGAACATTATTTTCTCTTTCAGGGAGAGGCAGAAAAAGCCACAGATCAGCCAGACTCAAACACTAAAGGAGCCGAACCAGACCCAGCGGAGATCTGGAAGAAGGACTTCCAGTGCCAGTGGTACAAGACCGCAGACGGGGAGGTCTCAGACCAGCAGTCCCCCAAAGACGGAGCGTCAGTTGGGGTTAAAGTAAAAGAAAAGGCTGAAGATGTAATGGGGACAACAAGAGCTCCTTCTACAAGAGCTTCTACAACAAAAGGGGCCTCTGTGATTGAGTCAAGAGGAAGCAGTTCAGCTAGTATTGAAAGTCCATCGCCTTCCCTGGAAGTAACTACCAGTATTTGTACAACTCCATCGAGTGCCCCAA